CTCAGGAGAGGAGTCAAGAACCAAGAGGGCAAGCTGAGGGGTGATTGTTTCTTAAATTTGATGCCCCCCATATGAAACTGGGGGGCCTCAGTACAGAGCCAGCATCAGCTGGCACAAAGAACCATAGAACAATGGTGTTGGAAGGGGCCTCTAAGGCCATCGGGTCCAAGGCAGGAATCCCAATCAGAAATCTGACAGATGTTCTCCAAGTTTTACTTGAATGCTTCCAGCATTGGAGCGTTCACCACTGCCCAAGGTAATGGGTTCCATTGTTGTACTGCTCTAACAGTTAAGAGATTTTTTCCCTCATAGTCAGCCTAAGGTTAGTGTGGATCATTATGGGAGATCCAACAGTGGTCCCCAGACCCAGTTGCCAGTATAAACTGGAAGCAGGACCCACAAAAGGGACTTGGCCACTGGCTGTTGCTCAAGGATGCTGTGTGCTGACACTAAGTCTAGCTTCTCTCCTTCCTTTCAAGTAAATCAGTAGGGCCATCCCTACCGTTAAACAGGTTGGGGCAGACACCGGAAGCAAGAGATTTTGGATATCGTGAAAAGATAACAAATGGTAATTGTTTCATTTTTATAGCCAGGCATGTAATGGAGCCCTTCGGGTAGTCTGACCCTGTGGCTTCCCGTTTTTGATGGTCTGCTGCCATCCAGTGGTTGTCTTCTGAAAACATAGCTTCAAATTATTATTATTTTTCTCAGAGGAAATGATAATACAGTGGTGCCCTGCACCACGACGATAATTCGTTTTCCGGGAATCGCTGTTAAGCGAAAACATCGTTCAGCGAAAACAATTTCCCCATTGGAATGCATTATTAGAATGCAGTGGAACTGATTTAATGCCTTCCAATGGGGAAATTACCTCGTCGTCCAGCGAAGATCGCCCATAGGGGAAGCCATTTTCCGAGTGCCAATCAGCTCTTAAAATGGCTGCCCTGCGAAGCATGGGTCCGGAAAACACAGAGCAGCCAGTTTGCGGAGCCGGAAAACATTGTCGTCTTGTGAACAAACAGTTCGCGAAGCACAGACTTAATTGTCGTCAAATGAAAATCCCCCATAGAAAACATTGTTTTGCAATCGCTATAGCGATAGCAAAAAAGTCACCATCCTGAGGATTCATTGTACAGCGGGGTCATCGTCTAGCGAGGTAACACTGTAATTATGTGCTGTAAAGTCAGTTCTCGTTTATGGCAACCTTCCTAGGGTTTTCCTGGTGTCATGATCATCATTTTTCTTCCCCTAGGTATCAAAAGTAAGCTCAGAAAGAATAGGGCATCTTGAGGAAGAGGGTGGCAAACAATGCCATCGCCGTCCTTGCTCATGAGAAAGTCCCCTCTTTGGCTTAAGATTTGTGGTTCCCAAACGGGTCCTCAGATGTTCTTGGACTACAATTCCCAGAAGCCTTCACCACTTGCTGCGCTGGCCAGGATTTCTGGGAGTTGTAGTCCAAGAGCGTCTGGGGACCCAAGGTGGGGAACCACCAGCTTAGACCCTATAAATCCTGGCTCCACTGCTAGTGAGAGGTCTTCTCCGGAGAGACCTAGGTAGACATTCTGATCTTCTCCTTTCCACTATGTGAGTTCATCTTTGTAATTGTGAGGTCAGATTAGGTCTCCTTTGCTGACATCGTAACCCACAGGGCTGGCTGGTTTCCTTCCTTCGGGCATCACTCTGCAAAACCACAATCCCTGGAGTTGATGGGGACAGTTCCTTCCAAAGCATGGTTCAAGGAGGCCACCTGCTGCAACCCCAGACCAAAGAAACCACCGGAGCTCTTCAGCTACTGTAGGCCACCATTATGTTGCAGTGTTGTGTTAGAGAGAGAGCCAAAGGTGGGGAGAAAGCGGACAACTGCCTTGATTTGGGGGTGGTGGTAAAGAAATGGTTCACTTGTATGACCGGGGGGCATCTTTACAAGATGCAGGCTCCGATCACGGCAGAAGTTTGACATGCTGAGGCCATAAGCTATGGTATGTTTAAGAGGCTACCTCAGTGCTTTTGGCACGTGGGGCCTGAGGTTGGGAGTTCGATTCCCCCACTGGGGCTCCTGGGAGTAAGGCCAGCCTAGGTGTCCTTGGGCAAGCCAAACAGTCCCAGGGCACCCCCCAGAAGAAGGAAAGTGTAATAGAGATGGGCATGGACCAGCAAAATGGCGGTTCGTCTTGGTTCGTGGTTCATGGAAGTCCATGATCAGTCAACAGTTGGGAGACATGAATTACAGAGAAGTTATAGGTTCAGTTGGTAGCCAGCCCCTGTGGTTTCCTAGTGGTGGTCATCTGAGAGAGTAGCAGGCGCTGCCTGCCTTGGCCCAAAAGAGAGTCAGTCACACTGTAGACTGCAAAATATTTGACCCCTTTTCTACTACCCAAGGTACAGGGAGAAACCAGAAACTGGAAGGAGAATTTCCGCTACCGGAATCTGCGTCTTTCTGGTGTGATGCTTGAGACACTGGAGACCACCCTCTGGGAGTTGACGTCCCAGGACTTTAGGAATCACGATGAATGGGAGAAGTTCCGGCGGTGGCTCTGGGCCAATTGGAGCTTGAAGAGAGTGGCCTATGATCTGGTAAAGTCTGTATGTTGCAACGCAATAAAGATCTGAGAGCTAAGGTTTTTTCCCCCAAGACCTTGTCATGACATCATTGTCAAGGACTTGTTTGTTTGTATTTATTTATCCATCCATGCATCCATCCATTGTTATCCCACCCAAGGGTGGGAGGTGTAAAAAAAAAAGTAAAGCAAAAATAATTAAAACAAATTCTATAATACAAAGATTTTAAAGAAGACCAGGAGCAACAAAGTCTTCAACAGCAGAGAAAATCCCACCCTCCTCCTCCACACATTTGATAAGTTGAGGAGGACCTCCCTGAAGGCTTCCTTACAAAGCTCTGTTTTTAATTACTTGTTTAAAGGCAGACAAAAGGGACGTGGTGGCGCTGCGGGTTAAACCGCAGAAGCCTCCGTGCTGCAAGGTCAAAAGACCTGCAGTCATGAGATCGAATTCACGCGACAGAGGGAGCTCCCGTCGCTTGTCCCAGCTCCTGCCAACCTAGTGGTTCGAAAGCATGCAAAATGCAAAATTTGAGTAGATAAATAGGCACCATCACAGTGGGAAGGTAATGGTGTTCTGTGTCTAGTCACGCTGGCCA